TGGGAATAATCTCAAATTGCTGCTGGCGGAAGTCGAAGGGAATAACACAATCAAAGATATGTATAACTCTTTCCAGCAGGAACTCCGAAAGACACCTTGAACTAAGAACTCTCACTGGCAACTTGACAGCAACCTGCAAGTTAACGTACGGTTTTAATTAAATGGGTCTGTAGAGACGGGCTCTAGGGTTTGTCGGCTGGTGAAAGAAAGCCCAGAGTATATTATATGTGCCTGTCGACGAAGCATGAATCGTAGATTGATACATCATGGAGAACGATTGCCTTCTCCATCTAAAATTTGGAACATGGCCTCATCCAAAGTGCTGAGCTTTTTAAATAGCCTAAGGTTTGAGTGATTACAATTTGGATTTTGCACAATATATCTTCTTAGGTCGCAGCGCGGGTATCTTCGACGTAATAATAATAATATCGTCACTAGACACGAATAAAGAGCTCGGAAAAACTCGTTGGGGAGTTCTGGGGAATACTGTGGCACTCGAAAATATAGTTGACCGCGGACATAAGTTTATGGGTCTTTCTTCGCTGTCAAAGAGGTTAACGCGGCTTTATTTGCCGTCACCTATGTTAAGAGTCTTTCTATGTGTAAAGTAGGGTTGCCAGATTCTGAAACGGAGAAAGGAGTACATTTCTATTTTCTATAGAAAAAAATCAGTGCAAAACATAAAAAAGGAGTACAATTTTTGTTTTAATTTTTTGTGCAATTTNATGTGTAAAGTAGGGTTGCCAGATTCTGAAACGGAGAAAGGAGTACATTTCTATTTTCTATAGAAAAAAATCAGTGCAAAACATAAAAAAGGAGTACAATTTTTGTTTTAATTTTTTGTGCAATTTATTCTTACAAATTACCATTAATTAGGTACAAACAACAAAGATATCATAGAAATCTTTTTCAAAGCAACAATAAATGTTAAAAATAAATAACTATAGGTTTGGTCGAATGATGGCCTCCTAGTCACCCGTTCCGAGTCTTTTCGAAGACCGAGTATAAAGGAGCCAAGAAGATTACAGAATATATGTAATAAAGTAACCCCAAATGAAGCTTAAAATTGAAAAACTTATTTATAAAATTTAAGTAAAATCTGTGGATAATTAACAATAAACTACTTTTTTCGCAAAATCTATAAAGGTCGCTTTTATTTTTCAAAAAAACCCTGCGCAACAGTTATTATTTTACACCCTGTATATGATAAAATATTAATAGCTGGAAAAAGGAGTACAAAAGAAGTACGAAACTAAGAAAGGAATACATTTCTAGATATTTTTTTTTTAGTACAAGGGAGTACATTGCAATAAAATGGAGTACGTTTACTCCCAACAGCAGTACGTCTGGGAACCCTAGTGTAAAGAGACATATGTACATATCGATAAGTCTGTACAGTAAAATGAATCGTTATACACAGTTAATTTGTTTTTAATAATCTAGTTGTGTTTTAGTTTTACTAAATGTTATGTTAACTATGTTTTTTAAAAAATTTGACATTGAAAACAAATATCAAAACTCAAAAAAATGTTTGGTAGGTTTTGGTTGGTTATGGTAGGCGATTTTGGTAGGAAAAGTAATTTGTATGTGGCAACGCTGGGTAATATCTTAATAACTATTAATAAGTACCTACACCATATACCCCCAATTTTTAGATCAATCTACTCAAAACTTCCTCAAATCGAAAAACTTATAATTTAACCGACGTGCTGGTAAAAGAAGTTCAAATATTTTGTAATGGAGGAGATATGGGTCATTATCTTCAAATGGATTATGTCTACCTTTTGACAGTTCAGCCTAAAAGTGTTGATGCCGAAATACGTTTTTCATCAGTAGGTTTTGTATGTAAAAACTGCAGGTCAAGCTTAGAAGACTCCGCTTTGAATGCTTTGCTGCTCTGCTCGAAAACATTTTAAGTGCAATAATAACAAAAAAATAAATTGCGAAAAAAGGCAAAAAATTCGTCATTCTTTATAGAGTATAATAAACATGTTTAGAGAAATTGTTTTTGTATATTTTTGTTTTATGTTTTTTTTTTTATTAATCGTCACTTTCAAAAGTACCTGGTATTTACATTATTATTTGTGATGTATATGTTCCTCAATCACATGGTTTTTTAAATACAATTTAAAAAAAGGTTTACTTTAAAATTTGTCTGATTTAATAAATATCGCTAGCGTAGAGTGCAAAGTTGATAAGTCCCAATTTAAAAATTGTACAGGAGAGGAAAAAACTTCGTATGGCCGTTTTCTTCAAGTATTTCGCAAAACTTTGAACACAACATTTTGGCTGTTTAAAGCAAACAAAAATTAAATAGTAATAATTTGAAATGTTAAAAAAAATTTTTATCAAAAGCATTTTTTTTTTTTGTTTTTAGTTTCTATAAAAATTTTGGGTATGCAGTTTTATAGATTACTGAATTTTAGTGTAATAAACTGTAAGTTGTAGGTCGCTAAGAGTTCGCGTTGATTTTTAGTAAAATAAAAAACGCTTTTATTTACTATGTAGCATGCAGATGTGCTCAAAATGTTAGCGAAAAAATTATTAAAAATCAACGCGAAGTCTTAGCGACTTTCAACTTGCACTTTATTATACTGATATATAAAACTGCATACCCAAAATTTTTATAAAAACCAAAAACAAAAAAAATATTTTTGGTAAACATTTTTTTAAAACTTTTCAAATTACATATTACTTTTTATTTTTTTCCCCATTTTGGGGGAGCCCTAAAATTGGTTTTAACTAGTTTTTATTATGTAGCTTTTTTTAACAGGAACAGGAGAATTGATCTTCAAAATTTGCACTTTTTCTGCATTTCACACTAAAAAATTTAATATAAAAAGATAAAAAATTGGGCCCAACTAGTCTCCTGAAAATTTTATTAGCTTTCATTTAAAAAAATAATTAAAGAAATTGGTTGAGAAATAAAGGCTCCAGTGAACATTAAATCCCATTTATTGACCACTGTGCGATGTAGCGAACAGAAGGTGGCGCATTCCACAAACCGCCACTTTGGTTTTGTCGATTTTTACAGTTCTCGATGTTCGTAAACAACGCCTAAAAACTCTAAATTCACTTAAGTTCACTATACTTTCACTAAAATCACCATTTTTTACATTTCCTTAATAAATTTTTTATTACAAATAATATATTTTCACAATTTAAAGCAATTAAAACACGTTTCCTTTCAAAAAATGGTATAATAAGATAATTGCCTAATCTCACATTCTCTTTTATCCTTCTATTCGGCTTCGCTACTTTTAGCCACAAATGTCATCGCCGTCTGGTATGCGCAATCTTGTTTTCTATCATTCTTGGTGTATAGCACATAGTTACACTAATCAAAAGTATTTTTAAAATAAAGCTTGAAACGCATTCGCTTGGCACTCATATTTAAATATATCATATCCATAAATACTTTGTTTATAAGTTAACGACATTTAAAACAGGTGGCATACCTTTTAAAAAGTATTTTCAGACTAAAATCACCGTCAAAATTGTTTCTCTGACATTTCAGTTAACTGGTGAATTAAGTTAAATTTGATTCTTCAAATATGTGGCAACCCTCCTTGGAATAAAGCCTTTCCAAAGCCATTTCGCTAAATGCACACCTTCTAATAATTTATTTAACTTATTAAATAATGTGAATTTAACTTTTTAAGCCGGTGGCAACTTTCGTCAAATATCTCGAAAATATTGAAACTCAACATTTCATAATTCTTCATATAACTTGTGGATTAAATTAGTTTTTCAAAGAGATGGCAACCATCTTCAAAATATTTTTAAAGTTAAACCTTATCTCTTCCGTCTGGCACCCAAATTGTGATACATATCTCAATTACTTAATTGCCTTAATTTAAATTGAATTTGATTTTGTAGTTACGAAATAAATCCTTTTAAAAAAACATTTCGAGTGATGCCCATATTGTAATAATTGATTTAACTTATTAAATAATTTGGATTTTATCTTTTAACACGTGGAGAGGAGGTACATGAGTCTCGTGCCTAAATATTGGTTTGCGCTCATCTTTGTAAAATTCGATACCTGTTTGGCCATTCGAAAGTGTTAAGAATTGTACGCTGCGCAACTGGTTACAGATTTCCGTCTTCGTATATGCGATAAGCAGCCCCAGTCTTGAAGCAATTTGATTGCTGCCTTATTGTCTGATAGAGAATAAAGCGTTAACAAGTGTTCCCTCCGTATCTCAAGTGTACTCTGGACGTCCGTTACCAGATCTCCTCCTTCAGTTCTGCCAAAAACAGAAACGGTGTCGAAACCATTTGATTGCTGCCTTATTTTCTTATAGAATCTTCGGACTGCACTTTTCCCAATATCGCTCAACTGTCGCGCATGTCGTTTTTCGCAGCGGGGTGGCTTGATATTCTAGGAATTTTTCTACAGCAGCTGCGTAGAAGCTGCCAAGTATTCACCAAGGTCGGTGAGAATTCCTCTTAAATATGTATGTATGCTTAACTAGGTAAGTGTACTAATGTGAAATGGAATCATTCGCATTCTGCACAAACACGATTTGATAATTTCAAAATCAATAAAAAAAAAAAAGTGCTTCTCGGCAATACTTTTTTTCTGGTCGTTTCCTAGAAGAACACTTAGCGTTGAGCTTCTTAAAACTTTAAAATCAAACAAAACAACCAGTTGTAGGTAAGTGTTTACATTTGTTTTTTTTTTCTGTATTTGTATTCATTACTTTGGAAGTGAGTAGCTCGTAAAGCTTTGGTAATTTGCTACTAGTTAGTTTTCTACGATCGGAAAATTACATGCCAATGCTACGTGGGCTTGTAATGAATACGGCATGCGCGATTAAAAATAAAAAAAAACATATTCAACCAGTGTAAAGCTTGGAAATTCCATAAAATTAATTGAATAAAAACCAGAAATAATCAATAGAAAACGAAAGCTTCAGCGCTTATAAATTTACATTTAAGTAGTACATATAAGTAAATACATACATCCATATTTATGTATGTATGTAAATGATTACCTCCCCCCGCTTGCATGGAGCGCGCTTCCACCGTAGCATCCATATACTGGTATATCGTAACAGGACCCTGATATTGGGTCATCGGCCCTATAACGACATCTGACGAATTCGATAGGTTTATCACGCTCGATGGTTGTATGGCAGGATTTGTGAAGATATTTTGTGGTAGCGCAGCAGGTGAACTGTTAACTGGATGGCCAGAGCTGTGACCTTGTAGACTCCAGAGCGCACTGTTTGCGGCGGAAGTGAGAGGATTGGGATTGCTCGCTGAGCGCATGCTTGCACGATCCTCCTCCATATTTTTTATTTGTTTTTTTTTTGCTTTTGCTTTATTAGTTAGAACAAGTGTAGCTATGTAGTTATTGTTATTAAATATATTTGTTTTAAATATAATTTGTACAAATTAATTGGTCGATATTATAATCAGCGCATAAAGTTTTACGACTGACTATCACAAGTATCACATTTTTTATCTGTTTTATTTGTTCTATACAACTGGATAACAAGGCACATTGCGGAGAATAGAGTAGGTACGTACGATTTGCGTATACTTTCAAACCGGTCAATTGTACGCGCGCGCGCTGTGGCCCATTTTATGTACAGCTTTGTCGCTTTCTAAATTCTGACTGTGGATCACACTGAGCTTACTCGGCGTTGTTACTCTGATGTTACTCTGCACATAACTACATACATACATATCTATGTATGTATTTTGTCGACTTTTTACCTCGTCAATTGGAGAATTTATCCAATACAAGCTAGCCACTTGTGGTATCTGAGATCTTTATGCGGTCAGTAGTAATATGCAGTCAGCGTCAAAAATATATGTACATTCCCTGAATTTTTACCAATTTTATTTTGCTTATATTTGTCATACCAAATTTTACTTATTTTTTATAAAAATAAAGTTCATCAAAACCCGGAAGAATAATTTTTGTTTTAATTTCATACAGAAGTCGGGGAAATGCAAGAAATATCAAGAAAGTTTCATCGAAATTTCAATTATTCAATTCGAGTGGAGAGTTTTCCTTGGAGTAGAGGTTTCAAGTCGCTAGAAATTACCATTGATTTGTGAGATTTTTTTTTTGCCGTGGGTGTTGCGCATTTTCTTCCATATAACGTATGAACACAATCTTTTTTTTAATTGCACTTTATTGCACTAAAAGTTAATGAGCTACAAAATTGAATACTCAAAATTTTTCTAAGAAGTCGAATTACAAAAAAAACAAGTAATTTTTAAGCAAAAAACAAAACCGTCTTCAATTCTCATACAAAAACTTAAGAATACCATAATTTTTTTATGATCCAATGATCGGATCTAAACCAAATTAGTATTAGACCATCTCTAAGGTACGTCCTTTCCTTTTTATATAAATCGGTTAATGTGGTCCAAAGTTATGCGATAACATACATTAAAAACTAAAATATTCCGACGAATTGATAATCTCCTCATTTTTTGAAGTCGGTTAATAAGAAAAAATTTATATGGAAAATATAGATAAATAAAATCGTCAAAACGGCAGGGTATGTATAGTTTTGATGCTGACTGTACGTACATACATACATATGTTTGTACTAGTATGTATGTTTTTGTACTTTTTTATATGTAAGTGTATTCAGCTACCGTGTCTCGTATGAGAGTGAGAAAAAAATGCGTATAGATATCGGTTTTATTTTGAGTGAAGTCTACATCTTCAATAACAATATGCATATATAAAGGTGTATGTATGTATGTCTCGATCGATTTACTTACAACAACTTTTCTCGTGCGTTACAATCCCCCGGGCTTTAAAATTTTTTCACCAAAAGTTGACTACATATTAATTTTGAGTCTGCCTCTACATCCGTACAAAAACTAATACATATCTACATATATGCCACCAAAAGTATAAAATCGAGAGCTTTTCGTTTTACTTTTACCTTTAAAACTTGTTTCACTTATTTATTTAGCCTACGAACTTCATTCTTATAGACTCCGATTAGCACAAAATAACATAAAACCTTTTACAAACATATGTACATCGATGGCCACGGGCTAGTTCATCTCCACTGGTCGATAGCCGTGAATTTATCTCAACTTGATGGCCGTGCGAAATACCAATCTTAATACGCTTGAGTTTTTTCCAAGACCATCGCATGTCCCTTTTCCATGAGATGTTGAGTGATAATGTATGGCCGCTTTCAAATTGAAAGCATCTTTACGATAATTGTATCACAAAGTTGAACCAATTTTTTAAGGTTGCGTTTCTTTATACATTCCGGATAAACCCATTTCACAACCAGAATANATCTTCAATAACAATATGCATATATAAAGGTGTATGTATGTATGTCTCGATAGATTTACTTACAACACCTTTTCTCGTGTGTTACAATCCCCAAGGGCTTTAAAATTTTTTCACCAAAAGTTTACTACATATTAATTTTGAGTTTGCCTCTACATCCGTACAAAAACTAATACATATCTACATATATGCCACCAAAAGTATAACATCGAGAGCTTTTCCTTTTACTTTTACCTTTAAAACTTGTTTCACTTATTTATTTAGCCTATGAACTTCATTCTTATAGACTCCGATAAGCACAAAATAACATAAAACCTTTTACAAACATATGTACATCGATGGCCACGGGCTACTTCATCTCCACTGGTCGATAGGCGTGAATTTATCCTATCTTGATGGCCGTGCGAAATACCAATCTTAACACGCTTGAGTTTTTTCCAAGACCATCGCATGTCCCTTTTCCATGAGATGTTGAGTGATAATGTATGGCCGCTTTCAAATTGAAACCATCTTTATCATCTGTATCACAAAGTTGAACCAATTTTTTAAATGTTGTTAGGCACCATCTGTTATGCATACAATTTTATACATATATCGTTGGCTTAGCGTGCAAACGTGCTAAGTCCATTTTTTTTTAATTTTTCTGGAGGGACCAAAAACCGTCTAACTTTTTTGGTTGTTAATGTTTTCCTAATCTGAAAATGCAGTTTTCTTCCTNGTTAGACGCCATCTGTTATGCATACAATTTTATATGTCGTTGGCTTGGTGTGCAAACGTGCTAAGTCCATTTTTTTTTTTAATTTTTCTGGAGGGACCAAAAACTGTCTAACTTTTTTGGTTGTTAATGTTTTCCTAATCTGAAAATGCAGTTTTCTTCCTTAGTTCGTCTTGTTTCAGTACCAAGTACCAGGTTGACCGAGCTTTACCCGGAGTGCATATACTTTTTAAAGTTTTCAAGATTTTGATAGCTTTAAAAAATATAATGGAAATAAAAATATTGGATTTCGATTTCTATTAAGTAAATTTCATACTCCAAAATTTTGGTGACAACCCTATTCCGAAATACGTACATATTTTGAGCGTTATACTGCTTTCATCATAAATGGGCGGGGTCACGCCCATTTTCCAAAAATTTCATAATAATATTATAACAATTTGCATCCAATGTTTACTGAAATATCGTAGTTCTTGTATTTTGCGAAAATACCTTTATATGGGAAGTGGGCGTGGTTACAGTCGAACTTCGCCCACTTTCAATGCCAACCTACCTTGGATAAAGGGCAACTTACATACGAATTTTGTTGAGATATTTCAATTTTTGCTCGAGTTATCGTGTAAGCAGATAAACGTGTTTATATTTTTTGTGATTTTTTTTTTGGACTTAACACATAACGTAATACTCTGGCAGCTTCTGNTCAGTCGAACTTCGCCCACTTTCAATGCCAACCTACCTTGGATAAAGGGCAACTTACATACAAATTTTGTTGAGATATCTCAATTTTTGCTCGAGCTATCGTGTAAGCAGATAAACGTGTTTATATTTTTTCTGATTTTTTTTTTTG